TGCTATGGTGAGTGCTGTGAATTGTGTAAGACTGTTGAATCCCAGAGCTGTACCTCTGAAACAAATAATACAGTATATGTTAAAAAAAGAAAAAGATAGTAGGAAGGGAAAAATGAAAACCACCATTTATTTTAATTTTAGATTGCTTTTGTTGTTCCTGTTGGGTTTGGACTTTAAGTGCTTTCTAGATAATTGAAGGCCCTTTTACTTGGATTCTCATCAGTTGAAGACACTTTGCTAGTGACCACCCAAAGAACTGAGCATTTTGATATCATAGTCTTTGGCTGAAAGTGTTTCCCAAATTATAATCATTGCATTTCAAGAAATCAGTGCTTTGAAAGTGGGTTATACTAGCCAACTGCTTAAAATGAAAAGGGGCAGGGGCAGCAGATGTTGGTGGGGAGGGGAGGGGGTCAAGGATCAGAAGCAGTGGAGAAGGGCAAGGACAATAAGAATCAATTAAGGAGCACCTGGGTGGCTCAGTAGTCTGTTAAGCATCTGACTTTGGCTCAGGTCATGATCTCATGATCCTAGGATTGAGCCCCTACGGAGGCTCCAAGTTCATCGAGGAGCCTGCTTGTCCCTTTCCTTCTCCCTCTGCCCACGCCCCCACTCATGCTTTCTCTCTCTCTCAGATAAATAAATAAAATCTTTTTTAAGAAATCAATTAAAATGAAAGGGATGCTATATACATTTTTTTTAACCCTTTCTAGAATTGAAGCAGATACTAGGACCAACAGTCATCTCATTTCTTGAAAGCAATCAAAAAGGGCATTAAATCACCCAGAAGTTGAAAGCTGTTTGTAGGAGAGGGCTCCCCTGATCTGCCATCCCTTACCACACGGATCTCAACCTGCTGGCATTGCCCAGTCCCGAGGCCTGGCAGCATAATGAAAAGACAGCTCCCTGGACGGTGAGGGAGGCAGGAGGTTTTCTGGGCACAGGCTCTGCTGTATTACAGAGTAGAAATGGAAACCTCAACCTTAAATATGACTTTTCCCCCCCAAACCTAACATTAGCTGGTGTTCAAGTATTTCAACCAGGGAAAGCAAAAGCTTTTAGTGGTTTCACCTTATCTTGAAATGGAGAGTTTGACCCAGGTCCTGGATATCTGGGAAAAGGATGCAACCTGAGATTTCTTGAGCTTCTATTTCCAAAGAACCTTCCATCAGAATGGACTTTGCAGAGAATGCACACAACTTTGGCGCTCCCTAATCTTTTTTTTTTTTAAAGATTTTATTTATTTGAGAGAGAGAGAATGAGACAGAGAGCAGGAGAGGGAGGAGGGTCAGAGGGAGAAGCAGACTCCCCACTGAGCAGGGAGCCCAATGCGGGACTCGATCCCGGGACTCCAGGATCATGACCCGAGCCGAAGGCAGTCGCCTAACCTGGCGCTCCCTAATCTTCATCCTTGACTCTGTTCCCTTATTCTTTTTTGGTCAAGCCATCCCAAACCGTGTCTGCAGCTTCACTTGGACCCACCCAGTCCTGAGTTGGTACTTTTATCCCTGACTTCTTTCCAGAGCTCCAGACATGTATTTTTGTCAGCTTGCTGAACATCTTGCACCCAACAGGCGCCTTAAACTCAGCATATCCCAAATCAAACTGATCAATTCTCCCTGCCACTGACGGCAGCCTCCTTCACCTTCAGCCACATTGTCATTTATCACATTGCTCAAGTGGAGAACCTCAGTGTCATCCTCAATTCCATCCCCGTCCTTCACCCTCATTTCCTAATTGCCACCAAGATCCATCCTCTCCCGCCCCCCCCATTTCCTGTTCTCCATTCTCTCGTCTTCACCCCACTGTTACTGCCCTGCTCCAGGCCCACATTGCCTCTCACCCGCACTGGGGAACTTCCTTCTAACTGGTCTCAGGGTCACAGCAGCACCCCACCAGAACCTGTCTGCACAGCTGTCAGGGAGATCCCTGGGAAACATGGCTCAGTTTCCATCTGTCTCTCGCTTAAACCTACCTGACCGTTCTCATTGCCAGGACGACAGCTTCCAAACTACTGGTCATGCCACACCAAGTTCTTCCCACCTGGTTCCCAGCCGTCCCCGTGTCTTCCTAGGACACCCGCCACCATGCATCCTGCAGGAGAGACTACAGTCTGCCCCCAATGTGTTCTCTCCTTCTTCCTGATTAAAATCATGACAATTGCTAATACAGTATGGTCTTTCTTGCCGTCCAATACGGCCAGGTGACAAAGTTCTGGATGCTGGAATGTAAGCACAGAATCATGAGAGAGTTTCCAAGAATTTTTGCAGGAGGGATCTAGAACATGTCCTTTACTCCTTTTCTGTTGCCCCCTTTTCCATCCTGCAGCCTGGAACAAAGGTGTGATGGCTTCCATTTTGGACCAGGAAGGTGAAGGGCACACCCGAGGGCAGGAGGAGCAGCAAGCTGGAGGGTGCCGTGGAGCAGAATCGCCACAGCCCTGACTACCTACCTCTGGAATTTTCTGTGGGAACCTGTGGCAGAACAATGCTGCCTGCTGCGGGGTCTAAGCAGCTCTTTGGACATTCCTCAGTAATTGTCCTTCGCTGAGTCGTGCTCACTGGTTTACAGGTCTCTCTAGCCTGGGAGCTCCTCCAGGGCTGCCGTGTAAGCAACTGCGTGCACGTGCCCTTCTCTGCGTTCCTCTCGGTCGGCTCGGTTTGGCACAGACAGAGCAGGCATCCAGGAAACGTTTGCGGAGCTAGTGAGTATTGATAACGGCTCCGAAGAAAGCTCCCTCCCCTCTCAGCCCGTAGGGTTGACAGTATAGACTCCTGCCGCGTATCAGCCGAGGGCAACTATGTAACCTCCCTGTGCCTGTTTCCATCTCTGCCGAGTGGCTCAGTAGCGCCTCCAGCGTGTTGGAGGACTACATGACAGTTTCGGCGAGGCACTCGGCGCGGGACCGGCCCACAGATGGATGGGGCAAACAGCCGCGGTTAGCATTTCGTGGTTGTCTCTCTCCCGCATGCTCGCTCCCTCTTCTTCGCTCCCCTCCCTGTACTTTTTTTTCATTAACATTTCAAGTAAAAAACAGCTTCTGAGCCCCAGGACTGTGCCAGGACAAACACAGTCGCCACTCTCCCCGCCCCCCCCCCGCCGGGGAGGGGAGCTCGCTGCCTCTGGGGGAGGCAGACACAGAAACTCGGAGCTGCAGCAAGGCTGAATGATGGAAGTGCTCACCGCTTCCCTGGGAGCACAGGGAGGGAGGCAGTCACCGTGGGCTGGGGGAGAGGCGGAGGACCCGGCGAAATGGGAGTGGAGGTGGGGGGAGAGGCGCCTTCTTGGCAGAGGTGGCCAGCACGGTGTGGTCCGGGAGCTGCCAGTGTGGTTCAGTAAGACTAGGCCCCTGGTTCTCACACCGGAGCATGCGTCAGAATCCCCGAGAAGCCTTGGTGAAATGCAGATTGCCAGGCCTCTTTACCAGCATTTCGGATTTATTAAATCCGGAGCAGGGCATGAGCTTTTGCATTTTTTTTTTTTTAAGATTTATTTGTTTATTTCAGAGAGAGAGTGCGCTCAAGCGCCCTTGAGAGTGTGGTGGGAGGAGGGGCAGAGGGAGGGGGAGGGAGAATCTCAAGCTGACTCGGCCACTCTGTATACATTCCACAAATGTATACAACATGCTAAGCTCCCTTGCAGCTCCCATCTGTCCCCATAGGACGCTATTACGATACCATTGACTCGATCCCCTGTGCGGTGCCTTTCATCCCTGTGACTTCTTCATTCCATAACTGGAAGCTTGAGCCTCCCACGTTATGCCCCTTCGCCCGCTGTGCCCATCCCCCCACCCTCTTCCTTTCTGGCAACCATCAGTTTGTTCTGTGTACTTAATGGATCTGTTTATGCTTTTTTGTTTGTTTATTCATTTGTCTTTTTTTAGATTTCACATATGAAATACTGATAACTTTCCTTTAACCAAAAACTTCTCAGTGAATGGTCATCGCGTGTCCCATTTCTTCACCCCGGGTCCTGACAGCACCCCCCTCCCCCAGTCTCATTGGCACCTGCCTAAACAATGAAATGGTAACTTGTTTTTCTTGTTTGCTTTAACAGCTTCACCACTTCTCCCACCAACATGTCTTAAGAGAACCCACATACAGACCTCTGGTAAAAATAGTTAATAAATGTGGAAAATGCCTCAACAGAATTGAATTTTTAAGCCTCCAGGCCGTTATTAACTTTCCTACTGCAAAACAGTTTACAGGAAATCTGTATGTGATGGGAATATTTTATTGTCCCTGAGTTAGCAGCACAATCCAGTTTGTCCGAACTGATGAAATTAGAACAAAATGGAGACTTATGTAAAGTATAATTCCACAAAGATATTATATAATTATATAGTATAATTCCTGGTCTATGTAGGGCTCAGTTCCTTAGAAACAGGACTTACTCACCTTCGCATTAACTACTGTAATGAAGTGTCCCTCCCCCCCCCCATGGATTGTCCATCATTTGTTTATACATTTTGAATTTTTTTTTAAGGCTTGAAATAAAAATGGGTCCTGTGGAAGTCTGGGAGCAGAAGCGAAGGCTGCTCTTAAAGGTTCTTCATTCAAATGTTGTAAACAAAACACGGAAACTTCATGGAATCCAGTTCAAGCTCTTGCATGTATAACAGGGATTGGCTTCTCTCCTGAAGAGGCCGTTTTCTGAATGTTGCTTATAGCCAAGGACCTCACATTTCTGTTTTGAACTTTTCCCCTTCTTCTGGACCATTCAGATATTCTGAAATGTCTCCAAAATGAATTTCTGACTCAGGCGCTGAGTCTGTATGGCTCATAATGTCAATGAATCAGAAGAGCTAGGAAGTTACAGAAACCAGAACAGAGAGGCCCACTTCTTATTAGTAAGTTTTCCCCTTTTAAATATTTCTTCTCCACTTTCTTCCTGCTGTGGCTTTGCAGAAATCCACAGCTTTCTCAGCTGTTCATGTTCTGGGAGCAAGAATAATGTTTCTATTTTTCTAGTCAAGGAGAATACCAGCAATTCTTCCATTATCAGAATCTTCTCAGGTAAAGGGCCTCTCTCTCTCTCTTTTTCTCTCTTTTTTAGAGAGAGAGTGAGCATGCTCAGGGAGAGAGAATGTTAAGCAGGCTCCATGTTCAGCGTGGAGCCCGAAGTGGGGCTCCATCTCATGATCCTGAGATCATGACCTGAGCCCAAATCAAGAGTCTGATGCTTAAACCCACCCAGGCGACCCCAGCAACTTCCTCTTTTAAACACAATTCTGGATTCATTGCCTTTATTTGGAGGGAGTAACAGAGCAGAAAGATCACAGAAAGCCTGTGATCTTGACTCCCAAGCCCCTCTTCCCCTGGATCCCTCAGAGAGCTCCCACAATGGGAGACTCACCCCCAACCCTGCAGGTAGTCTGTGCTGCATTCTGGAAGGGAGCCCCAGAAGCCTAGTGGGACAGAGCTGAAGGAGGGATGGGGAGAGGACAGGTGGAGGTGTTTACTTCCCTTCTAACTCTGGTGACCCTCCCCAAATTAGAAGAGAAAATTGCTCACATTATTTTACACTTGAGGCAATCCAGTGAAATCCAAGTGTTAACCTTTCTGGTTTAGTTGTTCTCTCAAGTGCAAAGGTTTTAGAAGCCAATGAAAAACTGCCAGAATATTGTCTCTTTCACTCTGGCTCTTGCCAACTTAATTTGAAATTGGCTTTCTCAATTCTCCTTTTCTTATCTGGGAAGAACCCAGACAGATTTCTGCCTGCAGGTGATAAAATCCTGCCCCACCTCCACCCTAGATCTGCTTCTTCTAGTTTAGGTTGGGAGGTTGGCTCAAAATGACAGTGGTGATGACTGTGGCCACTGAGGATTGTCCCAAGGGCAATTCAGCTGCTGCCCAGGGCCTGTTGGTTTTCCTGAAGACTTGCAGTTTTTCAGAAAGGGAATGGTAGGGAACTGGGGAGAAATGACAATAAATGAAAGCCTAAAATGCCCTGGAATTCCTTCAGGTACGACATCATGGAAATATTACCAACTCTTTGAAAGTTATCCCAAGGTTTAGCATAGGGCCTGGCACCAGGCAGATACTTGCTAAATATTTATAGGATGAATGAATAAACAGACTGCTAGAATGAACTAAATAAGCACTTGATAAATACTAGGGATGTTCTTTATATTTTATTTCATTTGTTTTGCTCTGAAGAATGTCTTAACCATTTCCCACAATCTTGTTTTCAGATTTAATCTTGTTTCCAGTTTGATGAATACAGTGGTCACTGGCCCAAAGACCCCTTCATAGCATCAGCAAAGGTGACTGCTTTAATGGCATTCCATCGCTCTGATGCTGTTAAATTTGAGCATACCCGTGGGAAGGTTGGAAACATTAATGCCTCTGGAAATATGTATAACATTATCAAGAGCCGAGGATTCTACACGTTGCATGCGACTATCAGGAAAACAATCGATGTATGACCTGCAGAGGTGGGTGTAAACGCCCCTGCCCTGGGCTTGCTGACATTCCTTTCAGCTTCCCCGTGAAGATGATCTCATGAAAGGTGGAGATGGCCAGGGGTCATTCCTTTCTGAGACCAGGTAGAGCTGGTCAGATGACAGAGGTTGTCAGATGACAAGTGGAGATGATCAGGTGACATTCTTCCCAGCTGCAGGAGAAGATGATCAGATTGTTTTTCTCAGATTGTTTATAGTAGGCATTTCTAGAATTTGCCCACCCGATGTGCCATCCAGGAAGACCCCAAGCACAACTGGGTAATTATAAGCAAGACCAAGGATGTCAGCCCTTGCCAAGGGAAGGTTATGAAGAGCAGTGGGATAATGTACATGAATGTCCTCCAGGTCTACACTCGGGTGGGTCCCAGGACTAGAGCTCCCTAGCACCTTCCCAGACCAGCAGCCCAGGGGCCATGAAATCCAATGCCCACTCTCTTGAATCAACGCCATACTGATTTGCCCAGTGTGTCCTACAGTTTGAGATGTTCTGCCCAGAACATCTGGCGGGGGGTGAGGTATGTGTAAAGCTTCAAGCACCCCCATTTCTAAATTGAACAGCCCTGCGCTTTGTTTTTTAATTGATTTTGTATGGTAGGTTTCCTCTCTTCTATTAGAAGGTAATTCTTCATTCTCAAGCAATAATGATAGTCTATGAGGCCAAGTATTAGGGTTCTGACAGTTCTAACATGGGACCCTGCCTCCTATAGGCACTTAACACATGTTCATTAGAGGGAGAGGCACTGCTTTCTCTGAACTTCATTTCCAAATCGCAACACTTGGGCCTGAGTTTCCATTCTTGTGACTTTCACTGACAAGGAAAACTGAAACCAACCTGAAGTTGGACCTTTTCTTTTTTTTTTGCTGTTGTTTACCAAAACCAACACCTGTTGTTTATTGAACACCTAGCTCATAGTAAGCACTCAATGAATGTTTGTTGAATGGATGAGTAATTAAATGAAAGATGTTTAATCCTATGCAAGTTACTTGCCCTCATTTGTAAAATGAGCCTAAATCCACCTCCTTTGCAGTTTGTGGTGAGGAGTAAATGAAAGAAGATGGGTGAATTGTTTAGCACATAATAGAATCAAATGTCATCTTATTCTCTTCTCTTTCACATAATCAGTAGATATCCCGAGTGTATTTAGTGGAGGTGACCTCATAAATGAAGAAGCAGGCAGTGAAGAACATGTTGGTGGTCACCAGCAGCATAGTTGGATGAGGGAAGATGGCCATGTGCACTGGCCTGGTGTAGCTCCTCGTGGCCCCCAGTGACATTTTGCTGGAAAAGGATAATCCACCATTCTGCCCTGTCTGAGTTTCCATTTGCTGCTTTGGACCTTCCTGTTGGGCTTCAGGCAGAGGCTGTGATGGCATCAGGAAGACTGGCCAGAATGATCGTATAAAAAAGTAAGCTCTGGTTGGGAAAGATGGTGGCCAAGATAAAAGTTGTCTTTTGGATGAGTTGTTTTTAAAATCTGTAAATACATTTCTGGGAACTTGAACAAAGTGGAAGATTTACACAGAAAAAAAATCTGAATCAATATATGAACAGATAAATAACCTGGTGTATGATCTGCCTACAGACAGTAATAGAACCCATAGAAAATTGAAAGTGATCTCCCTACTCTGTAAAGGCCTCTTCTTGCTCTGGACACAGCCATTCTGAATGCTCCAAAATGGGCCATGTAATTTCGAATGTAATTTCCAAGAGTTCAGAGCTTCCCCTACATCAAAGCTGGCACTTCTTTGTCATAGTCTAGGTTTCAGCATAGGGGAATGGATATACATTAGAAACATAGTATTAAACACTGCTGTCCTTCTGCCTCTCAGGGCTGATTGTATCTACACTGTGTGTGTGTGTGTGTGTGTGTGTGTATTTTACTTCAAGGTGAAGGGAAATGGGGGACAGCTTCCTCCTAGTCCTAAAAGATTTCCTAAGAGTTTTAAAGATATTGTGCTTTATTCACAGACTTTGCATCTAGTCTGGATATAAAAATTGCTTTTATCTATGCACTATGCCAACAAGAGTGGTTTCATAATTTGAGAGGGCTAGGTTAGCTTAACTACTGAGCTGGAGGATGATATGTATATTTCAGATACAATGTAGGGATCTAATTGTTCAGTTTAAATTGGGTCAAAATGCCAGTAAAATGTTAAATTATTTTCTTTAATTTTTAAAAAGATTTTATTTATTTGTGAGCATGCACGCAAGAGAGAAAGAGAGAGAGAGCACAAGCAGGGGGAGCGGCAGGCAGAGGGAGAAGCAGGCTTCCCGCGGAGCAGAGAGCCCGATGCGGGGCTCGATCCCAGGACCCTGGGCTCATGACCTGAGCCGAAGGCAGACGCTTAACGGCTGAGCCACCCAGGTGTCCCAAAATATTAAATTATTTTATATGATATTCTAACATGCCATCTCTTTTCTCCCTTTAAGTTTACACTGGCATACCACTGTAACATCTGTCAACAAAACGGCCTTGAACTGCATAAAAAAACACAAGTAACTTTGTCTATGGAAGTGACGCCCAGATAAACACGCAAAGAATTTCAGGTTGGGTGTGTCCTCAGCTCAACATAAAATGGACTAACGGTATGAGATATTTTCTAGTTATACTCGCGTCTTTAACAAACCTCATTTGGTTGATCTTCAAGAGGCAAGGATCGAATCTTAGAGAAGGCCATTCCACCTGTCGCATCAGAATGGTTAATGACCCTCTTGGTCAAGTCATCATTTCCCACGCCCCGGGGCAGTGGTGTGCTGATGAGCTGCCTCGCAAAAACAAAAACCAAACCAAACGAACAACAACAACGACAAAAATCAATTCTGATTGATTTGTGGTATTTGCCACCTTCCGTAAAATAATACCCCTGCCGTGGCTGGCGTTGAGCTACCAGCAGGGACTGGCTTGCAAACTCCCGTACTTAACAGTGAGACGCGGTGAGCTGGCGGGAGCTGCCCTGCCACACTCCCACCCCGGGGCCTTATGCCTGCTCTTACTTCTGCCTGGAACATTCCAGAGACCTTTTCTCCTTGCGTTGCAAACTGGTTCTTCCGCTAGCATTATTGGAATCCTTTGGTGAATTAAACAGTGATAAAAAGCACTTGGAAGAGTGTCTGGTATACAGTGAATGCTATTTAAGGGATGTTTATTAATATTCTTTTCCTTCACTGATCATCAAGACCAAATTAGGAGTTCATCTTGTGTGTGTGTGGCCTGCTGTGCTTCTCCTTGTGTGGTACCCTCCTCTTGTGGTACCCTCCCCGCCCCCCCCCCCCAGCACTATCCTGGCTTCCTTCTAACTCTGGTTGGCTCAGGCTTCGTAATGTTTGCTGTCGCATCCCTGGCTAGCACAGTGCCCAGAAACTGGGAGACACTCAATGTATCCTTGTGAAATAATAAGCTGCTAGGTCATTGAATCTGTTGTTTACTACCAGCGTGAATTAGAAATCAAGAGGGTCAGTGTGCATGTCAAGAAATGATTATGAGGAGCAGGTAGAGGGGATGATGCAGTGATAGCTAAAGAAACTCTTATTTTCTGAGGCTGTATAGGCTTTATTTGTGTTGACAGAAAGGGTATTCTTTGATCGAAGTAGCCAAATTGACTATGACTCAGGTTGAGGTCTGCTGGTGTTGCCATCGACAATTTCGTTATCATGCAGGGTAGTGACTTTCTTGGCATTACAAGGATGCTTGTAATTTCAGGAACTCTATTTTTTCAAGATCCTTATCTTATGTATGTGTCTTTGGCGGGGGCAAGTAGGTAGAGGTTGTCTCTAAAATGGCTCTAATGAAATCTTTTTTTTTTTTTTTGATTGACTATAAATGCTTCTTAACCACTTTGGAGTTATGGATTCCTTTAAAAGAGTTTGATAAAAGCTTCTAACCAGAAAAATGCTCTGTGCATATGCATACACCAATCTTACACACAATTCACTTGTGCACTTCCAAAGAACCCTAGTTTAAAGCTTCTGTCTTCATGCATTTTGTCTGATTTATCTTCATGACAATTCTTGAAGTTGGTAGGGGTGGAAGCAAAGAGTGATGAGTTCATTTGCCCAGAAAACTTAATGGTAGCAATTACATAATTGACCAAAATAATATAAATAACCTCACCTAGCCATCCAGAGTGACTACTGCAAATTGAAGTGCTATTTTAAGGGAACTTGCTTTTATTATGAGGTAATATCTTCATTCATTCATTCATTCATTCATTCTTCCAAGGTTTTATTTAAATGTAAGTTAGCTAACATATAGTGTAGTATTAGTTTCAGGGGTAGAATTTAGTGACTCATCAGTTGCATATAACACCCAGTGCTCATTACATCACATGCCCTCCTTAATTCCCATCACCCAATTACCCCATCCCCCCACCCCTCTCCCCTCCAGCAACTCTCAGTTTGTTCTCTGTAGTTAAGAGTCTCTTATGGCTTGCCTCACTCTCTGTTTTTATCTTTTTTTACTTTTCCTTCCCCTCCCCTGTGTTCATCTGTATTGTTTCTTAAATTCCACATATGAGTGAAATCATATGGTATTTGTCTTTCTCTGACTGACTTATTTCACTTAGCATTATACTCTCTAGCTCCATCCATGTCATTGCAAATGGCCAGATTTCATTCTTTTTGATGGCTGAGTAATAGTCCATTGTGTCTGTGTGTGATATATGTATCACATCTTCTTATCCATTCATCAGTTGAAGGACATCTGGGCTCTTTCCATAATTTGGCTATTGATAATCCTGCTATAAACGTTGGGGTGCATGTGCCCCTTCAAATCAGTATTTTTATATCCTTTGGATAAATACCTAGTAGTGCAATTGCTGGGTCAAAAGGTAGTTCTATTTTTAACTTTTTGAGGAACCTCCTTACTGTTTTCCAGAGTGACTGCACCAGTTTGCATTCCCGCCAACAGTGTCTTACCTTTCTATGCAGCCTCGCCAACATCTGTCGTTTCCTGACTTGTTAATTTTAGCCATTCTGACAGGTATGAGGTGGTATCTCATTGTGGTTTTGATTTGTATTTCCCTGATGCCGAGCGATGTTGAGCATTTTTTCATGTGTCTGTTTGCCATCTGTATGTCTTCTTTGGACAAATGTCTGTTCATGCCTTCTGCCCATTTCTTAACTGGATTATATAGGTATTTTTGGGGTGTTGAGTTTGATAAGTTCTTTATAGATTTTGGCTCCTAGCCCTTTATCAGATATGTCATTTGCAAATATCTTCTCTCATTTAAAGGTTGCCTTTTAGTTTTGTTGATTGTTTTTCTTCACTGTGCAGGAGTTTTTATCTTGAAGTCCCAGTAGTTTTTGCTTTTGTTTCCCTTGCCTCCAGAGACCTATCTAGTAAGAAGTTGCTGTGGCCAACGTCAAAGAGGTTGCTGCCTGTTCTCCTCTAGGATTTTGATGGATTCCTGTCTCACATTTAGATCTTCCATCCATTTTGAATTTGTGTATGGTGTAATAAAGTGGTCCAGTTTCATTCTTCTGCATGTGGCTATCCAATTTTCCCAACACCATTTGTTGAAGAGATTTGTCTTTTTTCCAATGAATATTCTTTCCTGCTTTATCAAAGATTAGTTGCCCATATAATTGTGGTTCCATTTCTGGGCTCTCTATTCTGTTCCATTGATCTATGTGTCTGTTTTTGAGCCAGTACCATGCTGTCTTGATGATGACAGCTTTGTAATAGAGCTGGAAGTCCGGAATTGTGATGCCGCCGGCTTTGCTTTTCTTTTTCAACATTCCTCTGGCTATGCGGGGTCTTTTCTGGTTCCATACAAATTTTAGGATTATTTGTTCCAGCTCTGTGAAAAGTGCTGGTGTTATTTTGATAGGGATTGTATTGAATGTGTAGATCGCTTTGGGTAGTATAGATATTTTAACAATATTTGTTCTAATCCATGAGCATGGAATGTTTTTCCACTTCTTTGTGTCTTCCTCAATTTCTTTCATTGGTGTTCCATAGCTTTCAGAGTACAGATCTTTTATCTCTTTGGTTAGGTTTATTCCTAGATGTGGTTTTGGTGTAATTGTTAATGGGAGCAATTCCTTGATTTCCCTTTCTGCTGCTTCATTATTGGTATATAGAAATGCAACAGATTTCTCTACATCGATTTTATAACCTGTGACTTTGCTGAATTCATGTATCAGTTCTAGCAATTTTTTGGTGGAGTCTTTTGGGTTTTCTACATAGTATTATGTCATCTGTGAAGAGTGAAAGTTTGAATTCTTCCTTGCTGATTTGGATGCATTTTATTTCTTTTTGTTGTCTGACTGCTGAGGCTGGGACTTCCAGTCCTATGTTGAACAACAGTGGTGAGAGTGGACATCCCTGTCGTGTTCCTGACCTTAGGGGAAAAGCTCTCAGTTCTTCCCCATTGAGAATGATATTCGCTGTGGCGTTTTTGTTATGGCCTTTATGATGTTGACGTATGTTCCTTCTATCCCTGCTTTCTTGAGGATTTTTATCAAGAAAGGATGCTTTATCTTGCCAAATGCTTTTTCTCAATCTATTGAGAGGATCATATAGTTCTTATCCTTTCTTTTATTACTGTGGTGTATCACACTGATTGATTTGCAGATATCGAACCAGCCCTGCAGTCGAGGAATAAATCCCACTTGATCATGGTGAATAATCCTTTTGATGTAATCTTGAATTCTATTAGCTGGTATCTTGTTGAGAATTTTTACATCCATGTTCATCAGGGATATTGGTCTGTAATTCTCCTTTTTAGTGGGGTCTTTGGTTTTGGAATCAAGGTAATGCTGGTCTCATAGGATAAGTTTGGAAGTTTTCCTTCCATTTCTATTTTTTTGGAACAGTTTCAGAAGATTAGATATTAATTCTTTAAATGTTTGGTAGAATTCCCCTGGGAAGCCATCTGGCCCTGGACTCTTGTTTGTTGGGAGATTTTTGATTACTGATTCAGTTTCTTTGCTGGTTATGAGTCTGTTCAGGTTTTCTATTTCTTACTGTTTCATTTTTGAGAGCTTATATATTTCTAGGAATTTATCCATTTCTTTCAGACTGGCCAAATTGTTGGCTCATAATTGCTAATAATATTCTCTTAAAATTGTTTGTATTTCTGTGGTGTTGGTTGTGATCCCTCCTCTTTCATTCATGATTTTATTTCTTTGGGTCCTTTCTCTTTTCTTTTTGATAAGTCAGGCAGGGGATTTATCAATTTTGTTAATTCTTTCAAAGAACCAGCTCCTAGTTTCATTGATCTGTTCTACTGTTGTTTTGATTTCTATATCATTGATTTCTGCTCTAATCTTTATTATTTCCCTTCTTCTGCTGGTTTTAGGCTTTATTTTCTGTTCTTTTTCCAGCTGCTTTAGGTGTAAGGTTAGGTTGTGTATTGAGACTTGTCTTGCTTCTTGAGGTAGGCCTGTATTGTGATATACTTCCCTCTTAGGACTGCCTTTGCTGCATCCCAAAGGTTTTGGACTGTCGTGTTTTCGTTTTCATTTGCTTCCATGTATTTTTTTTTAATTTCTTCTTTAATTTCCTGGTTTAACCCATTCATTCTTTAGTAGGATGTTCTATTTTTTTTTTTTAAGATTTTATTTATTTGAGAAAGAGAGAGAGCATGAGCAGGGGCAGAAGGAGAGGGAGAAGCAGGCTCCCCACTGAGCAGGGAGCTTGATGCAGGGCTTGATCCCAGAACCCTGGGATCATGCCCAGAGCCAAAGGCAGACACTAAATCTACTGAGCCAACCAGGCGCCCCTAGTAGGATGTTCTTTAACCTCCATTGGCTCTTTCCGAAATTTTTCTCGTGGTTGACTTTAAGTTTCATAGCATTGTAGTCTGAAAATATGCATGGTATGATCTCAGTCTTTTTGTACTGGTTGAGGCCTGATTTGTGACCCAGTTTGTGATCTATTCTGGAGAATGTTCCATGTGCACTCAAAAAGAAGGTATGGATGAAAAGCTCTGAATATATCTGTGAAGTCCATCTGGTCCAGTGTGTCATTCAAAGCCACTCTTTCCTTGTTGATCTTCTGCTTAGATGATCTGTTCATTGCTGTTGAGTGGGGTATTAAAGTCCCCTGCTATTATTGTATTATTATCAATGAGTTTCTTTAAGTTTGTTATTAATTGACTTATGTATTTGGGTGCTCCTAAGTTGGGGGCATAAATATTTACAGTTATTAGATCTTCTTGTTGGATAGACCCCTTTATTATGATATAGTGTTCCTCTTCTTCTCGTACTACAGTCTTTGGTTTAAAATCTAGTTTGTCTGATATAAGGATGGTACTCCAGATGAGTAATATCTTAACCATTTTATCAAGTCCTAGAACCTTTTGCAGTTTCATTTGGACACGCCATGTTGGGAATTGTCATTGTCATTCTTGTGTTCATTGCTCACTATTGCAAACAGACAACTGGATGAGTTTTTAATTGGCCCAAGACCTAATAAATGTATCAAATTCAATCTTTTCAATTTTATAATAAAAACTGCACACCAAATACAGGTGTTATCAATCTCTGAGCTTTCTCTGAACTTTCTCATGTTTCTGTTAATGGAGGGTGGGTGTTACAGAGGAGGGCAACAAAAACCATTTAGTTTATATTTTCAGTTCATTTTGGAAGCTGGTTTCTTTTCCTAATTTTTTTCTTGCCCATGTGAATAGTTTGATGCATTTCTGTTCCCTGGAAACAAATCATGGCAGTGGACGTAAGCAAGTCATGTCATCTCTAAAAGGAGGGATTAAGTTTGGAGTTTCTGATGTCTCTTCTGTTTCTAACATTCCATGGTTGTCTGATTCTGTCTTGGAGACTTTGGGGAGGCAGGAAAAGGCCAACCAGGATTAAACATGTTCTTTAGATAATCAACTGTTTGTACTTGAGCAATGAAATATGAAAAACTTCTGTTCTCAATCTCTTACCAAGTTTCACAAGAATAGTGAGAGACTGATCTCTAACCATGTTGTGGATAAGTAGAGGTATCAGAAATGAAATACTAAGTCTTACATAATGATGCGCATTTCAGGAAGAAAAATGGAATATTCTGAAACAAAATATCCATGTGAATGACTTTCCAAGGGGAAAAATATAAAGAACCTCTTCACCAGAATTAGAATATTTCTTGGGCATCAACACGGCAGACACACTGCTGCAATGAATCTCTTTGGAGATGACAATGTTATAAGCATCTTGAGAGGTAAGTGTGACTTAAAAAAAACCCAGCAATATCATCAGTGAGTCCAGTACCGTCAAGCTTCTTTTCTCTAGAAGTTAATTCTATTTATTTAAAAGGATCCTCCAGGATATAATTTTGAATGTTGTCAGGAACAACAGGAGTTTTTTCCCTTATGTCCAATTCTTCCAAATCCCTGGAGACAGCATAAACATACACAATATTCTGTGCCCCTGTGTGTTCAGGGGGAAAAAGCTTGTCCACTCACATGGTACCAGATATCTGAGTTAATTCTCCATATGTCCTGTGACTCACTTTGTAACAGTAAACAAATCATACTTAAGAATGGAAAAATCTGAGCGATGAGAGATTGGAATTATCTGGAGCCTTGGCTGAACAGCTTGAAAGATTTTTTTTAGAGCTGTTTTAGAGATAGCTTACCTCTGTGCTCCTGCCTGTACACATATACATAAGATAAGGATCTTGAAAAAGCAGGGAGAGAGCCCCTGAGTATACGCCAAACCCAGAAGAAGGAAAGATAGTTCCAAAGAAGGAGCTAAGTCCAGCAGCACAGGTTGTGATGGCTCTTTATCTCCATACAAGGGAATGTTCCAGCCCAAGGCACTCTTCAGCAGTTGCTCAAGGGTCAACAAACCACTCGCAACTGGCTTTCCCAACACTTACCTATCTCTTACCAGCTGTGTTGGCCAAGTTATTGAACCTTGCTGAGTTGTTCCCTCATCTGTAAAAGAGGAAGTAGTAATAATAATGACAGTAGGAATACATACTTTATAGGGTTTGAAGATTAAATAAGATAATGAATATTAAAAAAAAAAAAAAAACCTGCTAGTAGTATTCCTAGCACATAAGTGCTCAGTAAATGTTATCAAAAAGTCAAGGACCTGAACTTCAGTCTGCCCCCAGTGCTATGTTTTCTGGGTGGGAAGGAAGTAGAGACATTCACTTATCCATTTCACAAACATCTATCGACTGTCTTTTATGCATCAGACACTATTCTAAGTAACAGGAATTCAGAGATGAAGAAGAAAAATTAAATCTCTTCTGGATGGTTAAGATGCCACTAAACGAATAAATATATGTTGGGGTTGATGAGTACTTTGAAGAAAAATAAGGCAAAGTAGGGTGATTTCAAATGAGGAAGAGCCTTTCAGAGAGGCTGCCCAGGAGATCTATGGGGAGGTAAGAGATGAGCAGAGGCCTGAGACAAGTGATGGGCAGAGGCTTGAGAAGCCTGGGGAAGAGTGTTCAAAGCAGAGGGAATAGCACCTGCAAAGGCCCTGAGGGAAGAACAAGGTGGGGACGTCAATGGGAAGAAGCTGCCGGCAAGAAAGACTGAAGGTAAATGGCAGGCAAAAGCCTGCACTGTAGAGCATCAGAGGTCATGGTAAGGACTTTGGATTTACTTTGGAATGTGTTGGATAAGGATACAATAAACATGATTTACAGTTTCAAAAGAGAATTCTGACTGCTTTCGAGGGGATAAGAACAAAAGGATTCAAATAGGGGCTATTTCCGCAGGCATGGAAAGAGCTGATGGTTATTTGGACTAAAGTGGTGATGGAGGAGGCGAGAAATGTTTTGGGGGAGAGTTTGAAGATGCTGGTTAGACATGGTATGTGAGAGAGAAAGGGGGCTTTGCCTAAGCAGTCTGGTGATTGGCTAGGGGATTACTGAGGTGGGGACACTGGAGCAGAAGCAAGTAGGGGATGGAAATCGGGAGCTTAACTTCGACAGGGTGAGTTTGAGATGCCTGTTAAATGCCCAAATGCCAGTATGAAGTAGATCATTAAATGTTCAAATCTGGAGCTCAGGTGAGGGGTGATGGTGAAGATAGAAAGCTGGGGTTCGGGGCGCCTGGGTGGCTCAGTTGGTTAAGCGACTGCCTTCGGCTCAGGTCATGATCCTGGAGTCCCGGGATCGAGTCCCGCATCGGGCTCCCTGCTCGGCAGGGAGCCTGCTTCTCCCTCTGACCCTCCCCCCTCTCATGTGCTCTCTGTCTCTCTCATTCTCTCTGTCTCAAATAAATAAATAAAATCTTAAAAAAAAAAAAAAAAGCTGGGGTTCATAAGCATATAGGTTGTATTTGAAGTCATGGGACTGGATGAAATCATTCAAAAAGTGAGTATGGATTAAGAAGAAAAGAGGTCCAAGATGGAGCGCTGAGATACCAGCACAGAGGTCGGGAAGAGGAGGGCATCCTGTGAAGAAGGCTGGGAGGGAATGGCCACATCCCCACTGATGGTAGCAGATGCTGAGTCCTAGGATGGGCTCCTTTCTGGCCCGCAAATCCCATGGCCTCATCCAGGCCTCAGACCACTGCAGCCTTTGCCGCAGCCAGCAGTAAATTTAAAGGGATTAATACAGAATAAACTTAGGGCATTGTAATACTCAAGACATATTCATTAAATAGTATGTATGAATGACTGAATAAATGAATATTGACAGATTTAATTTTATTCCTCTTTAAATATTTACAAACCCTTACTTGCATTTGATTTTTCTCCCTGGAGAGAAGATTGCATTTGCTTCATTTTAAGGTCTGTCAGAGGCAATTTTTGCTAAAGCCAGAAATTTTTTCTGTTAGCTTTGATGGCTTAAACCTTCCAGAACTTTATAAACTAATAATGAAAATATTTGGTTCTTAAATAAAGGGATGTGCAAAGTTTATATCTTACAATTTCATTGAATAAGATATTAGAGGTACCATCTACTAATAATATGCATTTATTCATTTCATTATGAAACCAAAACTTACGTAATACTTACATGTGCAGAACACACTCTTAGCTTTGTGGAGGATCTGGTAATTGATACTCCAGTAAGAACAGTAATGAAAATTAGTATTAATATGTATCAGGTACAAAGGACTTTACATGCATTTCCTTGTTTTCATGATTCTCCTAGCATCCTGTGAGAATGAGACTATTGTTAGGTGTTTCATACAACAGAAAAATTCACAGACCACATTCTTGTGGTCTAATGATTAGAATTAGGCAGAACTGAGATTTGAACCCAGCTCTGTATGATTGTGGAGCTTGAACTCTTGCTCACTCTGCTCTGTGACCCCTTTTCGTGAATCATCATCATCATCATCATCATCATAAATATCAATTTTACTTATAGCTTAAAACAGAAAACATCATACAAACTTGGCCAACATAAGCATGTGTCTCCAACCAAAACAACATCGCAGTGAAATTCTGGAATTCAGACCGAAGCTGGAGGTAATCCCATTCAAGTTTCTATCAAAAATGGTAACGTTTTCTGTGACACCTTCTGGAAAGCGCGAGCCGGAAGGTGGGGACATGGGTCTCTGGACGAGGCGCAAGCAGCACACGGTGGTGGGGGGTGGGGGACAGCGCCCCAGGGAGGACCAGAGCGGCAGCTCTCCCGCGGGCAGGGTCCAGCCGCAGCAGCCGCAACAAAGTCGCAGGCACAGGCAGCCTGGGTATCCCCGCCGCCTCCCCAGCAAGAGCAAAAGCAAACACTCTTGGAAGAAAACAAACCGCAGCACAGAGGGTCTTGGGCAAAACGAGCCGCAGTACGGAGAGCAGGGACAGCCGCGGTGCAGCGTCAGCAGCAGTGTGCACGGCGCCAGCCAAGCAAACGCGGTCAGGGGCGGGGAGGGGGGCAAGGGAAATCCTTGGCGTCCTTACAAAGGCAAGGGACTAAAGTTGGTGGTAATCGTGCTCCAGTTCAAGGATTGAGCTTCACATATCTATCTGCAATATGCTAGAGAGGTACTGTATCTGAATCTATGACTAGTCACTGGACATGCTTTAATGAGATAATATATATATGTATTAAAGTGCATTGTGGACAGCGACATGGCAGCTAAAAATAATTACTTATACTGTTGCTGTTAATGATGTGATAGTGATCACAAATATTATTAGTATTTAAAAGCGTAATTTAAAAACTCCGTACCAAGGAGACTATTGGTTATTTTGCCATTATTAATGCAATATGTAATTTAAATGGGCCCTGTTTCCCATCCTTTTGGATTCTGTGAATAGTCACCATATGGTAAGGTTCTGACCTCGTGAGGATGACCAACTGGACTTTATCTAATAAATCTGAGCTCAGTGAGGCTAATCATTCTGTTTGTGATTCCATTGCTTTGCCCCCTTCCTTTGCCTTCCATAATGATTCTGCCTGTTGTCAGAATTCTTAACATGATCATTTTGTTGCCCATTACTAGCTCTTTTAGTTTTTTGTTAGATGGCATTTAATGAGGCTTCAGTTTTGATTATAGAGTGGATACTTTTAACAAATTTTATTTGGCTCTGTTTCTCTGCTTAAAATTACAGCTGTACGGTGTCCTGTTTCATCAAGCGGTATCATCCGTAGCTGATTTCCCTTTGCTCAAAGATTCCACTGGAGAGCTACCAACTAAAATTCAAATTGTCCCACAGATATAAGACAGGTCTTATTCCTCAGTGAATTCCAATTCTGAAGGAACACGTCTTCCATTGATGAAGAAAGCAAGCAAGCCCTAAGCAGGATCACCCAGGCAATAGAGATGGGACTTACGCAATGTACAGTGATGGCCACAGCTGTTTCTCGTTCATGCTAGAACAACTCATGACACTTTTTTTCTTGCACTGGAAAGGGATATTAAAAAAAACACACACACACACACCTGGGAGCCAGGGTTAGAAAACTTAATATTTTAATCAGAATTTTCAACTATAAGAACTTTAAAATTGGTTTTGAAACAAAAACAGTATGCCATAACATTGCAAAATACTCTTATTGCTTAGTAAAAGCACACTATAAATTATAAACTGTTTTCTACACGTTTGATGTTATATCGGGTAAAAGCCCGATTATTTCTGAGGACTTGGTCTTCATTCAAAATAAGAGATTACACCGCCAAAGTTTTAGAGACAACCCCCTGATGTACACATAAACTGTCAAGGAAATATTTGCAGACTGTCAGAGGCATTTCTGTCAATTCTATGAAAAGATTTTGCATCCTAGTGTCTTCTTGAAGTTTATTCTGGTTGCTTTTGGATTAAAAAATGAGAGCTGTGAAAAGCAAAGAGAGGCAAAGCGGCCCTAGGAACAGCCCCCAGAGCGTCAGCAGTTCCAGGGACACCTCTGTCCCTGTTGGTCCCCACTGTTTGGCAGCAGGTGAGTGGACACCTTTTCGGCGCTGTCCATGCATGCAGACAGAAGCCATTTTAAAGTGTTAGGGTGACAGGTTGTCAGCTTTTTTCCTAAACTTCTCTAATTGGAGTACACAAGGACACATTGTCTCTGAGTCTCTGCATGCAAGATGGACTGGCTCCAGTAAGATAGGATTTCAAGAGATGGATGTAAAGTCCTTTCTACATTAAGCAAATTGACTGCATGCGTACAAGACGGAAGAGAACCGGTTGAACAATACTTCTGTCAAACAGACATAGTAAGAGGGTCATGAATTTGTTACGAGCCAAGAGGTATATCACTGCCCAGAAAGCTAAGACGTCATTACTGCCCCCAAAGCACTAAGGCATGTCAGCTCATAGGAGGTAACAATTTTGCCGTCTGCTGCATTGGCCGGATCATGCCTGAGCTGGAATGCACAGATTAGCTGTGCACCATGTCCTTAAAGCTCATCAAAAAAGGGTCCTGGTGGATGGTGAAAAGTTTGAAAACTATGTTATATGACGAACAGTTGAGGGAATTTGATTTATTTAGTCCAGACAAGGAAAAATTGGGGAAGCAGAAGAGGAGGAGATATTGGTTGTTCATCTTGAATACCTGAAGAGTACCTTGTGGAAAAGCTATTGTAGTTGTTCTGGAGGTCCCCCCAAAGGAAAACCCAGAGCCAATTAGGGTAATAGTAGACAATTTCCAGCTCAAGGTTAAGAAGCTTTTTGTAATTATTACTTTCCCTGCAGTAGGCTGGGCTGCTTACTGAGTGGGGTGGTGACCTTGTGATACTGGAGGACCCCAGTAAGGGCTGAACACTACTGAGTACGGGAGGGGAAGATGGGTGTAAGGTGGGACTCTGAGAGCTTCTATTCAACGTGTGGTAAGAATGGCCCCTGGAGATTCTGGGAGCTATCCTGGCTCATGCTGCACACTCTTATGGTAGCGTCTTGGATTGTGTCACCCTAATGGTGACTGTTTTCTCCATCGCGGCAAAGCTGACTGTAGTCTTGTTATCTAATCTAAATCACCATCTACCAAAATAACACTGCTGTGTTGCTGAAAATGGCCCTGGGTTGCTGTGTTCCTCCATCTGAACTGATGATTCTTGCTCAAGGGCAGCGAGGGATGGGGATCCCAAGCATGTGACCGGCCTGAGCCTTGCTCTTCTCAGCTGTGGGATGGAGACTGAATAGCATACTTAAGATCGTGGCCTTTGGAGCTACACTGCCTAAGTTCAAAGCCTAGCTCCACACCTTACTATCTGTGTGAAAGTGTTATTTGACTTCTGGTGCCCCTTCATCTGTAAACCAGAGATGACAATAGTTGAGTCTGTCTCGTGGGTTGTTGTGAGAATTAAGTGAGCAAAGGGGTATTACCTACTTTGAACAGAGCCCACTGCTATTTTTATATTCCATGTGTAACCTATCTGCCCCAAGCCGACACCTGCCCCCTTATTTTCAGACAACCTCCTCCTGTTCCCCCCTTGACCCTGAATTCCTGAGGCTCCTCTTGCAGTTCTGGAACATTTTGAGGATTTCTGTGGTTTAAATTGGGTTGTTTCTCAGCTTTCCCTACTGTTGGGGTATGGCGTACTTACCTCTCGTGTTTTCCAGCTTCCAAAATTATGTTGCTGTCACCTCCTTGTCCTTATGGGCTTCAGTTTTTATTGTAGTTTAAGCACGAGAGGAAGCAAAATTAGATGTTTGTATTTGACAAGATGGAAGAGCAGGATAAAAAGTTAGAGACCTTAAAGTGCTGTTTTTCAAAGCTAGGAGGGCACAAGATACCACAGATAGAGATCAGGGCACTTGTGACAAAGCCTGATTAGGACACTAAGAGGTGGAATCTCTAAAAAGTAATGAAAAATTTTTAAAAAGATTATAGTAAATGATGATAAGCTGCATGTCTTCTGACCCTTAATACAAAGAAAAATTTTAAATAGCAATTGCCCTTGAAACTTTTAGGAGAAAACTTGCATTCTCTGTCCCTTGAATTTGTAACTCTCGTCCTGTCTTTAAAATGTAACACCCCAGGTGATAATCAAAACATTGCCCACAGGGACTAAAAAAAGAAAAGGTGGGGGAAAGGCTTTTTCAAATACAGACTGCTGAAAATGATAAGGAAAACAACTCTGTAGGTAGGGAAAGGAGGAGATGTATGAGAAAGGTATAAGGAATGAAAATACATTTTTACTGAGGGGAAAAGTAAAAGCAATATTGTCCTAAATTGAGATTGGTCTTTTATTTTTTTTATTTTATTTTTTTTAAAGATTTTATTTATTTATTTGACAGAGAGAGACATAGTGAGAGCAGGAACACAAGC